ATGGTATTGATACTTGTGAACATATTATGACAAAACAAATCTTAATCTTCATTTCATGTATATTTATTGATTAATTTATTTGATGAAGACAAGTTTTCACAAATATATATAGCCTAATTTGCAATGTTTGTCAATAATGTCAGTCCTAATCATGTTTTTTTTTTCCCATGTTGAAAGTCCTTTCTATGTCCCATTATGTCAATAATGTCAATTTCAATCTTTTTTACTGTAGAAACTAATCATCTAAAGAAGGCATAATGAATGTACCTAAGTTTCAGTAGCTCACCAAAACAAATTATTCTCCATTTTCTTCATTTTTTTTAAAATCACGGTGTTATGTTCTGGAGCCCCCACAGAAATGTTTTGTAACGAGTAGGTTTACACATTTTCTAGCAATTAAAAAGGAATCTTGTGGGATGCAAGGTGTTACGTTCCAACACAGAATAAATGAAACTTCTTTGGAGTTTTTTAAACTTTGCACTGCTGTTCATCCATCCATCCATCCATCCATTTTCTACCCTTCAATCCATTTCTGGGTCAGGGGGGTGGCAATCAGAGATGCCACCCAAGTCTCATAGCACCAGCCCCTCACTGACCCTCTGCAGGTGGTGAGTCCACAGGAGGACGGCTGCTCTCTGAGTGTGAGCATAGCCTTGATCTTTCAGTGGGGGCTTTTGGGCAAAGTGGGGTTAAGTGTCTTGCCCAAGGACACAACAACAGCAGTCATCAGCGGGAGTCGGTGGAGAAGGTGTAGAGGTGGGAATTGAACCCACGACCTTCAGGCCTTAAGGCCAATGCTCTACCAACTGAGCTACTGTCGCCCCAACTGCTGTTCAAACCGTCTATAATGCCTCACCTTTTCCTTTTTATCTTTCTACCCTTTGCGCTGTAAGTACTAACTGGCGCCTACTCTATTGATAATTTCCCCGACTCTACTCTTTGAAAACAAATTCTCTTCTCTTGGATTGTTTGCTCTGTAATTTTGGTTAGAAAACAGACAATACTAAACAAGCATATGGTTATGACCACCTGCCAACAACGAAATACTAATTATTTGATTAAATATTTCTGTTAGAGCCAGGATCCACTTTAGATTGTGTGGTTGAATGGTAGCTTGGAATCAGATTCCCAGTTTGATGTTGTGGCAAAACACTTTTTTTTATTTTGCAGGTGGACAATTTATTGAAACATATAATATTGTAAGGGATGTAAATGACACAATAATTAGCTGTGTGCTGGGTTAACGGTAGCCTCGCCTTAGCCGTTCGTAAACTCTGGTCAATTTTAATTTCCTAGATGTATGTCTGGGTCTGATCCTGCGGTTTCCTCGGTTGTATCCCCTCCGACCAATCAGCGAGCGGGGGGAGACGGGTGTTGTAGGGAGGTGTGGGTGACGTCTAGAGTTTGCGCCGAATTTGCTGGTTATAGTTTTGCAATGGCGACGAATGCGATAGTAAAGTAATCTGTTCTGGTTCGGCTCCAAATATCAAGAAATTTAAGCCAGAGGAAGAGGAATGTTTAGCAAGCACGTCATTGCTGGTAAAGTTGTTGTGGCTCCCCTCCCCATGGGCTCCGTTAGTGGCAAAAGCGATGGCTAAAGATAGGCTAAATGCAAAAGCTATGCTAAATGCCTTACTCACTCAAATAACACTCAGATCCAATCATTTCAATCTGCAAAAGGAGTTAACCCCTCCCACCTGTTGCCAGAGCTCGAAGGAGCAAATCCAGACCTCAGTATGAAATGAAATGAGTACGATAGTAAGACCAGGCTAGGTCAATGTTGATACCTCTAGAAAGTAAAAGGATCAGTGCAACAGCAGGAGGATCTCCAAACAGTATTCATTCAAACCATGTGACATGTTGGACAGTTCCCTTGTTCAGAAAAAAGGATTTACTGGGTCACACCTGTCATCTGAGAAAATGTTTTGGAGATATTTCACTTCTACACCAGAAAGTATCCATGCATGAATAATCTTAAAACTGCATTTATAGTCAACAGTCCTGCAGTTTTGTAGCATGTTGAATCTCAACCACCACAATTAGGTCAAGGTCAACTTTATTTTCACAGCACATTTATAAACTGTTTTTGATTAACTTTAATTTTATTGTCTGAAAACCAACATCAGAATACATAAACACAGATTTTCCAATGCGTTTACATAAAGCCTTCAGGTCACTAATTATCGCACAAAACTAGATTAAAACATACACTGTTTACACAAGAGTTGTTATAATGATACTTGAAATGCATATAAATATACTGTAAACAATTTAAGAATATCCAAATAGTGTCTATTTTTCTGTAACTGTGTATTCATCTGTTAAGCTATTTATCCATACTTCTTATCATGCACTAAATAAGTAAATCATTATCTAAATAAATACCCATTAGTTATTGTTATAATGTGATCATTTGTCAATCATGTATGGAAGTAGTCACTCAAATCCAGCATAAAATTCATCAATGTCACTTCTGTTGCTTTAGCTGTGGTCTATCCCCAGTGCTGTTGTATATCATCCAATAAACGGAATAATGCATCCCCAATAAGGTTCCAACGGGACTCTTCACCAACTTTGAACGACCACGGAGCCCCGTTGTGCACCAGCCAGTCACTCTGATGTCTTTTAATCTTTGATGCGGTAGCTTTTAAAGAGCAAAAGGTTTTCACTATCCCCCAAGGACTCTTTCACATCAGTTGGATAGAGCCATACACCTCGACTAGCTTTCTCTCATCGCCCTTTTGCATCGACAACATTGATTCAAAGACAGGAGAGAAAGAGTGATGGACGAAATATGCCCTCGAGATGTTACATGCTGCTGTGTGTAGCGGTAGGAGTTCAGGAAAGTTGATGATACAAGGCAGTGTGCGTTTGAAAGCCATGGCTCTGGGGCAGTTTTGATTATTGGATGGCACCTCTGCAGAAATCTCCGCACAAACAGCCCTTTTTAAAGCAACAAATACCCTGCACTTATGTCTTTTCTCCACATGAAACAGTATTGTATTCTGTCGCGTAAACTAGTATTATTATCTGTTTTGCTTGAGGAAGATGCTCACTGTAAGAATCCATGTTTTAGGAGTAGAAACACCATAGAAGTGGAACATACTAGACTTTTGCGTTATTGAGAAGAAGCAAAAAAACAGTCAGGACCTAAAATCCCACTTGTTGTAATGCATATTAATGTATAATTGAAACATGACACAGGTCTAGTTCAGAAGAAACGTTTATCCATTTTTGCTTTGCCAATTTACACACTAAGAAAGCAATTGCCGTCGAAGAGAAACGGTACAGAGAGAAGCTTTGTCTCTCTTGTAGTGAATGTTAAAAGCTGTTAAAGGGAAGCCGTGATAAATATTTCAGAACACGACTGCAGATGAGGGCTGAAGGATAACTTTTAATACTTAGGACTTTCAATGTAGTTTCATCAAAGGGACATTTAGAGGATTTAACCAAAGTTATCGCTTGTGTTAATTGTATGTATGCATAATGTGGAACAAGGGAACGATTTACAAAAAAAAAAAACAAAGATATTTTTTGTCTTGATGTCCTTGTCTCAATAGATCTGAAGCATTTTCTCAATGGGAGGTGGAAAGGTGATTTAAAAAGCTCTATCCAAAAAGCCAAACCAGTGAAATGTTTTTCTCACTATTGTTTAAGTGAGTAAGTAATCTATATTTACACAGCGCCGTTCAGACTTGAGTCACACATCACTTTATAATTGTTTTTCTCTCAGTGATGGGAGCACACACACAATCTCTGTATAGAATGGCTTCGAGGTGGAAGCGAACCCAGAACCTTCTTGCTGTGAGGCACAACCACAAAGCATTGCGCCACCGTGCCGGCTTTCTGAACAGATCACTTACAGATTTGGAGATATGTAAGCGATAAAATTAAATCTCAATTGACTTTGGTCTTGGAAAAGTTCAGTGGTTTTGGAGAAATCGTGGATCAGAGAAAGTCATGGTTGGCAAGTTCCTGGCACCAACAGCACTAAGCTTACTGTCTGACTTAGAGTTATTTAAGTTTAATTATTTAAGTTTAATCAGACTTGTCTAGCTGGATTACAATCCAACACGTAGCCTGTTAAATTGCAGTTGTCGCATTTGTCACATTCATCATAATATAATTGGACCATTGTTCATCTGACAGTTTTTACCTGTGATGTGAATTGAATACATTTATCTAAAGGTAATTGTGCTTTAGTGTTTCTAATATCTTTCAAGTGATGTGTCAATTAAAGGTTTTAATAAAGATTGCATTTGTTTCACAGTTTGATATAACTTTACTATCCGGGAAACCAGAACTGAACCACTAATGTGATGAAATAATTAAGGTGTGAGGAATGAAGACTGTGCTTGAAAATGTAATACAGTATATGCACTATATCCAGGCCGATTACACATTTTCAAGGGTGAAATATTCTGAAACAAACCATAGAAAACAATCAAAAGACAATACGGAAAGCACTCTTTGACTCTTTATGTCACGTGGGGGAAACAAGGAGGACTCAAAAGGCAGGAATGCAAGATAATGGTTTAATAATGAGGATGAAAAACAAATTGAAAATCCAAACATAACTCAGGAACCAGGAGAACAGACGGACAAAGACAGAGATAATACAATGTACCAGCAACAAAGGGAGAGCAGCTCAGGTACATACAGTATAAACCCGGAGAGACACATCAGGGCGGGGCAGACGATCAAGACAGGGGAAGAGGACAGGAAGTCAAACTAAAAATTAAACCACGGAGAAGTAAAGTCAAAATAACAAAAGATCCACACCATGACTCCGCTAAACGCTAAAGCAACAAAACATATTGCAGGATATGACCACTTAGTTAATGGTAGTGGATCTAACACATATTCCACATGTGTACAAAGGGAATGCAAACTCGATGATATTTTCTAAAACTTAGTCAATGTATCAATGTGTATGTCTGGGCTGGCTGTATCATTTGTTAGATGAGTGAAGTACTGTATTGTTTTCATGTCTTCCGCAGGAGAGGAGGTGCCCGTCTCTGAGTGTGAAGCCCCCTCTCCCCCCACAGAGGTGCCTTGTGAGCGAGCCTGTCCTGGAGACTGTGTGCTGGGCTCCTGGGGGTCCTGGTCCCCCTGCTCCCACAGCTGTGGATCCAAGAGTGCGGAGGGCAGACAGAGCCGCAGCCGCCCCGTCCTCGCCCTGCCCGCCAAAGGTAACATAGGTCTTAGACATGTATGTTGGCCTGTAATTATTATGGTGAAGACATTTGACTTCTCATTCTGTATCTCATCACATTGTCTGCACATTTATTTGCACATGTTTCTTATTTTGCCTCTTGTTGTCACTTTAAGTCATGCACTAGGACTGAACAAATCTGCACTGCTATTACCACTGTTTCTTAATTGCCACTTTTTATTGTACATAATATATCCTGAATGGACTATATTTTTTCCTCTAACATGTTTGCACACTTCTGTCTTTTGCACAAATCTGAGTGATCCTTTCCATGCCAAAGTGACACGTACATTTCTCCAGTGTGAGATAAGACATGATAAGATTTACTTGATTTATCTTATCTCTTGTATGTGTGTATGAAATTACTATGGATGCAAAATATAATTATACAAATGCTAAAACATGCATATTTTTCTTGTAAATCTCTTGTCTAAACACCTGTTTGAAAGATAACTTTAATAGCCCCTCTAGTACTTCATTACTAAATTCAGATTTAAAAATAGTCAACATTCAAACATTTGCAGTTTAGCTTATATTAATTGAAGACAAGGTACAGGATACATGTCAAGCTCAATTCGTGCCCTGTGGTTTACCTAACAAGGGATGATACAGCCACTATAACATGATGGCAAGTCCAAATTAAAAAATGTACTGAGAGCTCCACAGAACTGTTTTTAACTAACCAGCTCAGTGGGAAACCGTAGCAACAGGGTTCTCTCACTATGGTGCCAAACAAGAAGCTTTGAGAAAGTTTTAAGAAATAATTTGTTCCTTCAACTATACGCAGGCTGTAAAACCCACAGTTTATGTCTGAACTGTATGAAACATGAAGACTTCATTATTTCTGTAACTCTTATAATAATGTATGTGTACAGTATGTGTGGGTCTGAGGGTGGTTTTGCTACAACACAGCATCATTACATATGTCTGTCTATCTATCTATCCATGTTGCCTTTTATTGAGCAGTGGTTTTAAATATTGTATAATGTTGTGATGCCATCTGCATGTGAAAATCTTCTGGCGGCCCACTGGAAAATAAGGGCAGAGCCTGGTTAGTAATGCGATGGGAGACTTCTGGAAACACCAGGTGCCACAGTGAGGCAGCTGTACTGTGCCAAACTGTGGTCATGTTATTTGTTCAGACACTTCCAAATAGTTTGAATTGTATATTTGTATGTGGATGTGGATGTGTATGTGCCTGTGTAAGTGTTAGTGATTGGTGGTGGTCAGAGGGGCCTCTGGTACATACTGATGTGTCTGTTTTCCCACTGTGTATGGCGTGATTGAATAAAGCCCATCCATCTATCCATTTTCTTTCCCTTATTCCATTTCTGGGTCGGGGGGGTGGCAGCCAGAGCTGCACCCAGTACACATAGCACCAGCTTTATTGAATAAAGCCGTGTGAAGCAAAAAGTGCTATATAAAACAGAGGCATAATTATGTGTTATTTTCCTGTAGATGTGTACTGTTTTGCTCCTCTAATGTGTGACTGTGACAGACTTATACTGTATGTGTGACGGACGACTTCAACTGTTCACACAACTTTGACACTTTTCATCTGAAAAACATATGGTCGTCCATCAGCACGGCGGTCTGTGCCAGCGTTTGTTTAGCACTGGAGCCGTTTAGAGTCAGACAGGCAGAGCGCAGCCTTGGCAGCACCAGATCCTCCATTAATCCCTGTAACTAAACTCAAATCTACAGGAACAGCTGATGAAAGTATCTCACTGTTTTTCAGGTTAAAAATTGTGCTCTTCATTTTTGCAAGTGGTCATTTAGGCGTTTATTTCTCATAGGCCTCTGTCTCATATTGTAGTAATGACGCCAATGGTTCATTATAATATAGATACATACAATAGATAGTATATTTGCAATCTCAGTATTGATATATTATTTTACGTTCACTAACATTTTAAAATAAATAAAAAAATAATAAAAAGAAACAATGTGGAGTTTCCAGTTTTTGAGACGCTCAAAGCAGTGTCCTCCGCTCTGAATTTCTGTGTTTTAAGCAAGTCAGAACAAAGTCTAAAACAGAGCTGAACAATGTCAATGAAAAATTATGCTACAGTAGTCTTTTCATGTTCTTGCTTACGTATCCCAATGATAGCAGATAAAAGTACTTTCTTTAGCTGAATTCGCTGCACTTTGCGAGCCACAGGAAAAAAAATGCAAGTTGAGTTCCATTTTGGGTTTACAGAATGGCTGTGGCTGTGCCGCAGGCTGCTTGGCTGCTGTGAGAATAAACTGAAGGAATCGTGCAGCAACTGAGTATCATGACATTCTCCATATGAAAACTTTATATCTGCATGAGGACTAAGGCTGCCTCTGCATTATGTATGTGTGATTAGAAAACTAGGGACCCCACCTTTAATGAAAATGTCCGTAGTTTGGCAAGAATTAGCTGAGAGGCCTTTTTCATCAGTAGTCCCAAGAAAGGTGTTACAATCACCCTAAAAAATAGAAAATAATAATAAAAAGAGCACCTTTCATGCAGGACTGCAACTGTGATGCACTCCTCAAGGACAGTGTAACAAAAGGGCCGTTTCCACGGGCCCGACTCTACTCTACTCGACTCGACTCTCCCCGGTTTGCGGACGTTTCCACCGGCTTTAGACCTGGCTCTCGTCGGGCCGAGCAGATACTGTAACCCCAGCAACGTCGGGGAACACTGGTGTGTCCCTCTCAGCAAAAAGCAGACGCCTTTTCTCTGGCATCTCTAACATTTATAATAAATATAACATTCATAATGAAGATGCTTTCAATTAATTAGCTGTAAACCATTTATGTTTTAACTCCACACGGCTCCTCCCCTGCCAAACTTCTCTCTGCTCTCTCCTCCGCAAACCACCACAATGAGGAAAAGGGAATATTCACTCAATCTATTTTGAATGTTACACAATATTAATATAGGCTAAGCACGCGTAACATCTGTAGCCTGTGTAATTACAATAGACTGTGTGATAAAGTAATTACGCACCTGCTTAGAACAGTATGCAGCGCCAGGTTTTCAATTATGGGTAGGCCTGCAGATTAGTAGGTATAGGCCAAATTCACTCGCAAACTACAAGGGGTAGTTGGAATTCAGGTTTCAAAGAATATGGTTCAAACGCACGCACACACACTCAAGCACACACACTCAAGCACACGCACTCAAGCACACACATACACACACACACACACACACACAAACACACACAGGCTCATTTAGGAAACTTGCGTAGAAAAAGGTGTACATTTTGGGTGTATATTCCACATACGCAAGATCCAACGTGGGATTTATGAACGTGTGAGATCCGCACAGATGTTTCGCGATGTTTGATATGATCATGCAGCTTATTGGACAAAATTGTTCAGCCAATAAACAGAACTATATTTGAAGCAACAAACCTGATGACGCTCAGGCGGTTACATTGTAAACATTAGAACGCAACATTTTAGCAATAATGTGTGTATAGAAATAACAATATTTAAATTATGTCTTTTAATAAAAAAGGCAAATGACTTGAGAGGCGAGGAACAAATTTGAGTAGGCCAAGATAAAAACTGGTAAAAACTACCCAGGCCTATACCTGGCGCCGCGGCCGGCTTAGAAGGCCTGGGATGCCCACAGCGTCATCAGTCTACGCGCCTCTGTGTGGATCACACATCTCTCTTCGGGCTGGAGCTATGGCTGGAGCATTTTGAGGGTTTTAAAGCAGGAGTCAGGAAGGTGGCGATCCTACGGGTGTTTGTGATTTTTTGGTTTAACAGCCTCCCTGTTAAACTTAATTATATATATAATTATATAATTATATATAGGGATCAGGAGCTTTATGACCCGACCCATCCGCACCCGACATGACTCATATTTTTGAGGCATCCAACCCGCCCGAAACTGTGGGTTGACCGCGGCTTTCGGGCAGACCCGCGCATCACTACCCCTTAGGTAACACGTTGCCATAGATACACAAGGCTGATGGAAACGCTCTCAAACCGAGTCGAGTCGTGCCGAGTCGAGTTGAGGCGAGTAGAGTTGGGCCCGTGGAAACAGCCCTAAAGTGAGTTACAAAAGGACTCTGCAAGAATAACGGCGCTGCCTAAAGATAAGGGAGCTTTTAGTTTACGCTTAAATGAGTTCAGGTTCAGAGCATACTTAACATATTTAGCCACTCCTCCCCCTTACAGCCTGGCACGAGGAATGCCAAAAAGGTTGAAGTCCAAGGAACCAAGACAAACATTATAGCAGCAACATAATATTATGAAAAACATGTTTACAATATGTACATACAGGAAATGGACAAACCAACAAACATCCTAAACAATCCTACATTCGGTCCATCCAATATAATAACACAAACACAATACACACACAGAACACATGGGCACACCGGGCAAGAGTCCAGCTGACGGCAGCGAGAGCAGGTGTGGACAGCTCTGACATAACTGTGTTCTGTAGGTGTGATGGCAGGGTGAGTTTCTGATGGTTGTGAGTAAAGGTTCCATCCTGAGACAGTGTGGACAGAAAAAGCAGTTTGTCCAAATGCACTTTTCCTCAGGGGATTGATACACTGCTGCTCCCTTCTGCATGTTGCTGATGTCACTGAGAGGACAGTGGTGGAGAAGATGGACCAGACAGAGATTGGAGTTTTTGAGTTGTCTGCGTTTGAGTAATGTTGGGCAGTGGTGGGAGTGATTGGGTTTCTTGTCCAGGATTTATTCCAGGGGTTCTAAGGATATGAAGTTTTGTGACCAGGTAGACAGTATGTGGGATAAAAACTGGTCTTGGGTGGAGATTGGTGGAAAATATCCTGCTGAGATTTATGCTTTAGTTTGATGAAAGACTTGTATTGTATAAGGTGGTATAAAGTGTTGTGTAGCAGGAGATCGGTTTTACTGTCTTAAAGGTAATATACAGGTTTAAACCAGATTCAGATTCAGATTCAGATTCATTTATTTGCCATTTGCAGTAAAACCACATTGGAAAAACTGTGCAAGACTACCCCGGTGTGCACACACACCAGAGCTCTTGCCACGGCGCCATCTTTACGGCGCCATGCGAGTAAAGATGGCGCCAACCAAAGTGCCTGTTCTAAACATTGCATATAACCTTTCTCAATGTACTTTAAATAGTTACTGTAAATGTCAAGCTCATCTGCTCGTATCTTCAGGAGGCATGGCACAGGCAGCAAGAATATTGCATGAGCTGCACTTAGCATTAAATCTGTATCTCCGCGAGCTGCCTGTACATTTTGCAATTCATAACTTCACAGGTTGGAACTTGTAAAATGTCTGCTCAGCTAACCAGAACAAATATTTGTTTAGTTGCTCGGCAGCAAAGGCAACATTTGATATTGACATTTCACTGGAAACTCCAGCAAATCTACAGATGCGGAATAATAAGCACCTGTGTCGTTAATTCTGAAAACTGCATTGAATTTACTTTTTTGTGAAAGTGAATTTTAGCTGATGTCCACTGTCGTTGTGTCCTTGGCAAGACACTTAACCTCTGGGAACACCAGCCACAGTGGGGCGGCTGCGGCTGTAAAGTGCCAAACTGCCGTTGTGTCCTTAGGCAAGACACTTCACCCCCATTGCCTAGAATGAGTCTGGTGTGTGTGTGAATGGTTGGTGGTGATCAGAGGGGCCGATGGCACATACTGGTTGCCTCGCTTCTGTCAGTGTGCCCCTGGGCAGCTGTGGCTACAGTAGTAGTTTATCACCACTGTGTATGGAGTGAAAGAATAATGACATGTGAAGCGTCTTTGAGTGTCCAAAAAAGCGCTATATAAAAATGATGCATTATTAGTATTATTATTAAGGGATAATACACTTTTGTGGAAAAAATAACCCCATTTTGGATTATTTCTGCTTATTGTATTGTATCCAATAAGATGCTGAATTAATTATGTGCATTAAATGTTTATTCAAACATACAATGTTTTTAAAGTTAGAGACTTAAAACTCTATCCTCAGAACTACTTAGCTATCAAATCAAAGTGCATAAGAAAACCAATCATTTGCACAGCTAAACAGCTATATTTTTTCCCTGGATTCAAACATTATCAGAGTAGAAGCTTGTCTCATGTCCTCAGGAAGACTGACCCCAATTACTGAATTACCGTATGCCTTTCCATTTCTTAATGAGCACTCTCACATTTCTTTCCAACTTACACTGACACATTTTTCTTTCTGCAAATATTGTCCCAGAAACGGCTTGTATTGCTTAGACAGCTCATTCCTTCTCACTGTCTTAAATTGCCTGCTTGACACTGGGTTCGTTTTCATTTTTCCCCCAGAAGGCAAAGCGTGTCCGGCTCCTTCGGCCCTGGAAGAATGGAGAGTGTGCAATGAGCATCCTTGCATGCTGTTCTATTGGGAAGCGTCGCCGTGGGGCCCATGCATCCAGGATACCTCCATGAATCTTAATGGGACCTCCTCTTGGAATGGGACTTCAGCCTGTGCCATGGGAGTCCAGATCCGCAAGGCCACGTGCATGAAGATGAACTCTGGGCAGGTTATAAATAAGAGGTAAGCGTTGGGTTTTGGGGAATTTTTCTATATCACTTATTCATTACACCGTGAGTGGCAGCATTGTATTTTAATGTTGACTACTGTGTGAGCAAACTGATTTTCCAGATTCTGACAGCAATCGTGAATTATTTATTTCATTATCTTTATCTTGACACTTATAAATCAATGATTTATTCAAATGCCATAACGGTCCTTTATCTTTTTTCTCTATGAAGGGCAAATCTGAAAAAGACTAAATATGTATTCAAAAAAATGTTTATTCAGTTCGCGTGAAATATGTTTATTACACACCCAACACTTTGACTCATTTATGGTGCTAAATTAACTGTATATCCTATCCTGTGTGAAGGAGAGATATGAGATATTAGATATTGTCAGGCTGGGAATTGGATAGAAATTATGAAAGTGAGATAGTGGATTCTGGAGTGATGAGCTGATGATCAGAAGATCAATGTTCCCACCGTCGAGGTTGTGATGGGGAGAAGGCGGGTTGCTGCACAAGCTGAAGCTCAGGAGGAAGCTGTGAGGCCTTGTGCAGCCAATTGATTAAGTGCTGATGAGCAGACATGCGTTAAAACTGGTGTAGGTGGTGATTTGGGGGGCAAAAGCCAGTAGGGACTCTCTATAATCTTGGTATTTCATCCCTGGCTGTGAGACATTCAATCTTTCAGCAGACGAAATGCCAAGCTTTATAGACAGTAGTGGTAACCTGAGAGATACATGGTTTATGATGACAATATAAACCAAAACCGGCAAACTCAGACCTTATAACAAAATATCATTTGTATGAGGCTAACATTATGTGTTTCTACAATCAAGAAAGAAAAATAAGGGGCATTTCATTTAAATAGTATTGGAATGATGACTGCTTTATGAATTGCCAGGCATCAATTGCGTGGCATCACTCATCACCCAGTCTATACAAATAAACTTGCCTTTTCTTACCATTTCAGTTTCTGGTTCACAATCTGAAAACTCTGTATGGATATCAAGCACCAGGAAGGAGTTAATACGGTCTCAGTGTGTGTGAAATTCCAATTTATGAAGTAGAGGCCTCAAGCTGGCGATGTTAGATATAATGCAGCGTATTACACAGGGCGGCTGGTAATAATGTTTTTTCAATTCAAACATCTGAGGAAAATGTGTGCCTAACTCTTTTGAACTTCATCGTAAGGTTTGAATCATCCGTTTTGGTTAAGAAAAGAGTTGCCAGGAATCTGAGCTCAATAGGACTTCTGATTCCACATTGGGTTTGGGGTAGTTTTTATGAGCTTTATAGCGCACGGTGGCTGAGTGGATAGCACTCTCGCCTCTCAGCAAGAAGGTCCTGGGTTCGAATCCCGGCCGGACCAGGGCCTTTCTGAGTGGAGTTTGCATGTTCTCCCTGTGTCTGCGTAGGTTTCCTCCGGGTACTCTGGTTTACCCTACCACTAAAAATATGCACAATAGGTCTGGCATGTGCCTCTTGTACTGGCGACCCCGCTCCCATCTCTGTGTGGAGTTAGTGGACAAATGCCCAAAAATAATAACAATTGTAAACCGCTTTGTGACTCTGGTCTGTGAAAGGCGGTATATAAATAAACATTACTTACTTACTTACTATATAGTGCACTTTTGATATCCTATGTTGTACTTTTTGCCCTCCTTTTTGCATCATCCACCTCCATTTTCAAGTCTCTAGATTTACTTTGCCTTTGCTCTCCTATTATCTGCTGCTATTTCAGCGATACGACATCAAACACAGCTAAGGGCTTTGGCGCTGTCACTGTAATAATGTTATGGCCCACGCGAGGAAGATGGATCTATAAATAATTCACAAAGTTGGCCCTTCTTTAGCTCGATTTAATATTGACAGCACTATGAAGCAGATTATGTACTGTCCTGCCTACCGCTGCATATTATCTACTGGAAATGGCCATTTCTGCTGCACAACCTGCTGTAAGCGTTGAGTGATTAAAAAAAAAAAAACATACACAAAATAACATTTAGATGATTGGAGATATTTTTAAGCTTTGCTAGAAGTGCATAACTGTGAATTATTTTATGTTCATTGTATTATTATTATTATTTTCATTATGTATCTATGATGTACTTTTTTCATTCCTTTCTTATACATCAAAGTGCCTGACTTGGGGGTCACACCTTTGGCTTGTTGAAAAATGCAATAAAAACTGACTTCTAAAAATTGTTCGACCCATACAGTCTTAACAAAGTCCAGTCTTAGCAGAATCCAGACTTAACAGAGTCCAAAATTTTACTCTGGACTACAGCTGAGAAAATGGTCTGAACCAAGCGGCTACACCACCTCTGCTGCTGTGACCTAAGCTGCCGTTAGCTACTTTTGGAATTATGTATTTATTTGTTTTGCTTCTATGGATGGATGTGTTTCTGCTGCTACTGGACACCTGAATATCTCCTACAGTGGATCAATAAAGTGTCTTTCTATTTATCTAGAAGATGTCAGCTATAGGAGATGATTTGGAAGTCAGCTATCTTTGAGAGACATTTTGTTGCCATGTCAAATTTGATTGATTGATTTTGTCATAAAGCGCTTTCACTAATGTGGCCTGGCATATTTCAGTGAGTAACATGGAGAAAGACTGAAAGATGTACTGTCCACTGAGGAAAAATCCTTTGCAAATTCCACAGAATGCAGATGAGAGTGTGTAAATAATAACCGTGATGTAATTTAATGGCTGCGTATGGGGAGAGGATTGAAAGTTTCCCTGAGATCATAAGTCCCCACTGCCCTCCGCTGGAACAGAGTCTCTACTGAGAAAAATCTACGGCAAAACATACCGTTTCACATGCAGGCGCACAGCTCTCCTTCAAGCTTGTGATTCCCCCAACACTACTATAAATGAATAAATCAGTTCACAAAGGAGAAATCCTTTCCAGAAGAACCTTGTAAAGCTGACGTTTTCTTGCTTGCTTGAATTATAATTATAAACCAATTATAAAATAAGTACTGCACATTTTTATCATATGTCAAGTCCTTTTTATCAGGCCAATACCTCGCCTTTGTCTCAGGCAGCCATTCACAGCGTAGTCTTCACGCTCAACACTGATGGAATATTCAAGGTCAATTTAACAGTAACAGTTTCTAAACATAATGTACACTACTATGGTCCAGAAATACTACGGGCTCAGGAGAGAAAAAAACACACCAGTTAATAAAACTCATGTAAGGCAAGAAGAAAAATACGAGTGTGGTTGAAAAAATAAATAATCCCAGCCAATGAATTCTTTAAAAAGTAACCCTTTTTTGAACCATCCACAGACTCTAAACATGCCATAACAAGGTTTTCTGACTCATACAGCTATAATATCTACTCTCTCAAAATGACAAATGACCGGGCCTGTGTGTCTAATATTGCTGTGATGTTGCATACATTGTGCCAATGTAGTGTTTTATCCTACCACAGATAAATGTAAGGCCATTTCTTTCCTGTTTAAAGTATCAAAGACACATTTGAAGTGAGTTCTGTGTGAAACTATGCTGAAACAAGTTTAACGAGGCAAATGATCGTAACTGCTCAAACGGAAGGCCTCAAAGAGAAAGAAATTGCCTTGTTCATCCAAAATTGTCACAAAATTGCAGGCAGCTTATTTTCCCAATTGGAAAACACTAAGTTAGCTGCATCTTTCTTGGTGAGGTAAGGATTAGTACAGTAGAAAGAATGTATGTAGTTTTCTTTTGTAACCAGCCTATAAAGATTTTCCAACCAGTTTTGTGTTTGAAAATAGATATTTCCCTTGTATGGGCTGTTGAAGTGCTTTATAGAGTCTTCTGAGTGAGAAATGTCTTAAATTGAGTGCCTATAATCTCTACAGTGTGCAATGACTGGACAAAATGGATATTTTCTCAGAGTCAGTAAGTTAAAACCATCAGTTTGATCTTTAGGTTTCCCCTTGCAGCATTTAAAGCATGACATATTGATGAATAAACCACCGCAATGATGTGACTCATGTAAATATAGTTTCTACCAAACCCCAGTACCTTTTTTGGTTTAGGCTTGGTTATGTAACTACTAAGATGGTAAGGTAGTGGGGAAATACTGTTGTCAAACAGTTAATCCAATCTTTTTCCAATCTGATAATTCTTATTAAGGATTACTTTTTCAGACCAGAGTAGTTGTTACTGTAACTAGGCTGTTACTTACAAGAAGTTTTTTCATACATTTGGCTCCACTGCTTATGTAATAAAGGAAGCACAGTGGGTGATGTCGGTCTTGGTTAGTCCACTCCATGGCGCTCATTCATAAAGATGAAAAACTTAATCTCTGCTGACTTAACATAGTTGGATGGCAGGTTTGATAAATCCTTTCAGCCTGCAAGTATAGCTGAAAGCCCTTAGTAGGAGTTTCCGGAATTGTTTAATAAATGAGACGCCCAAAATATAGCGTTATACACAATCAGGCAACACACAAGATAGTGCATATTAGTACATTGCTGGTTATAGTGATTTGTATTAGTACTGAGGAATTTGTTTTATATTCATAATGGATTGAAAGAGCTAAACAGCACTTGGCAATGGTTGATGAATGATTTTTTTTTTTTTCCCCATTTTTCCTTATGAAAAAAATAAGAAAAAACCATGTTGTTTGCAATTGTCATCATTTGAGTGTCCACATCTCAGTAACCCACCTCAATGGTAAAATTCAACCCCTCCCTCTGGGGGTAACATAGGAATAGAGCAGTTCCCACCTTGATACTGTTTTTATCATAACTTTAGATATCATTTCACATTCCTCAAAACATAAAATCAACAAAATAAATCATCTCATTATGATTTATAATGGGTATAATAAAGCATGATATGTATTTTTTGAATTAAGAAGCACATTGTTTAAGAACAGTGAATTCTGCTTGAGCTCCATCATATTTTTTCTCTCTGAGGTTCTGTGGCCTGTGGCATGTTGCTGCTGCCAAGTGAGGGGAGAGGATGCACTGTAGCCGGGGGAGCGTGGTTTTATGTACCTTGACTTTTTATAGTT